CACGTGTCACCTGGTCCCTTCAGTAATTCAGTAATTATGGAGGACCACAAGAGCCACACTCATCAAAATAAAGAATTCTGTGCATAAATTGTACAGTAAATTATGCATTTGTAAATTAATTTACAAATTCCTTTTTTAAATTATTTTATTTATTCAAACATTACATAAGTAATTTATTATTTAATACGTTTATTTAAAATAAAAATGTAAAATAAAAACACTAATCAATATTTCAAAATAAATAATTAATTCATTAATAAATACTTCAAATCAAAAATTGTTACTGGTATCGCCACATAACCTGGCTTGAGTCATACAAGCTTTGGTTAGTTAGTTTAGTTTTCTACCGAAGCTGGGTCTGTTTGTAGATGTAAAGCCAACGGTACTTAAACGTTTTAGAATAAACCAAGCAGACGGTTCAATCTTTAAGCTAAGTGTATTCACAGGGACCAAACATCTGTCCCATGTGGTGAGGAAACAGACCCAACCATGCTGTGCTTGGTTTATAGTTAAAAGAACTCTCATCCTGTATAAACCACTAATAATAAGTCCTCCTCCATGTTTTGTCATGCTTATATCATACAACCTGAGTCTGTCACCTTTGTAATAAAGCCCAACATTTCTGCAGGGTCACATGTCCTGTTTCCCCTTTTTTTGTTTTTAAAATACATAAAGAGTGATTCTATTAAAAAACTGTGTTTTCATCCTGCAAGTTAACAGATATTTGATAAACCTCTGCTGTTTTTGTTGTTAACTGTCATGGTTGACTTCATTCTGCAGGTGTCCAGAGTCAGAATAGACTGACAAGGTGAGAGGTGAAGGGACAGAGGCTCTCCACCCCTGATGAAACACCAGGACAAATTCAGCTATGTGTGAGGAAGAGGAGGAAAAAAACAAGACAGCAGCAGGTGAGAGATGGAGAGGAGAACAGGGGAAGAAAATACAGCTGTTCTCTGTAATTTGGGGACTGGTATAAACATTTGAGACAGTTTATAGATATTTGCTTCCTCCACTATCACTGAAGCTGAATAAAAACAAGAAGAACTGGGAACATTCCCTCAGTGACACTTGGAAAATTAGAAACTAGTCTTTAAAGCTTCACAAAACATTTGTGACCTTTGACATTATGGTGCTATCTGTACTCAGCAAATATTTTTATGAGGGAAACAAATCATTTCTAAAGGCTGTATAATCAGAGTGACTCCGTTTTTCTGCAGCTCCAAGGAAGTGAACTCTTCAGTTTCATCATTTCCACTGCACCAGTAGAAATGTTGTTGATGTTAAATGTTTAAGAAACACATGCACTATTGCTACTGATTGCAGCTGATTTGCAGCTGATTTTTAGGTTCTTCCTGTTTCTCTAAAAATAAATCCTACTCACTGCTAAATTTGAGCAGTGAGTAGGATCCTAAATTATTCAAATTCATTTTTTATTAAGACCGATACAGGTTTGCATACCTGTGCTGTGTAAGTTTATTTCAGGTTTCCACATATCATCACTGAGTTTGAGTTGTTCATCCTCACTTTCGGCCTCCTCCTTCAGTTTAAGCTGCTCTCCCTCTCCCTGATTGGTGGAGATTTCTTCCTGTTCCTCTTTTATCCGTGGGGCCTCTGGGTCCTCCTGGTCCAGACTGGAGTTTTCCTGCTGGATCCAGACCTGCTGGTCATCCAGACCTTCCTCCTCCTTACCCTTCATGCTGCTATTAGAGGTCTGAGGAACAAAAGCACACATGAAGGTTACTAATGTGATGACATGAAAATACACCTCTAAACAAATATAATCCAGTACAGATTGAGTTCTTGAATCACTACCCGATTAGCTATTCTTATTGTTGTTTCCTGTGATGCAGTGATCTTTTGTATGTTATCATACCAAGTGGGTAATTTCCATGGGCAGATGGCTCAAAGAGCTAAGATTAGTTAGATTATTAGTAACTTTGGCTCTATCCTGCAACTCATCACTCAGTCCTCACCCTGCATGTTTAGAGCCAACCCCAAATTTTTCTTGTAATGTCAATCCTGATGTTTTGATTAAACAGTGCTGAACTCTTGTTGTTGTCAACTGCTCGTGTGTGTTCCTAGTTCATTCAGTCATTTATGTTCAGTTCATTCAACCTAATAATAAATCTATGAGTCCAGCATTTTGGTCCTCTGTCTCCATTCTCCACACACCTGACCTAACAGAACGAAACACTGGGTCAATGGCCCAGGTACTCTGACAGTGGGGTCAAGGGCGTAGATTTGGCATGGACGGAAGGGACATGTCCCCACCAATATCCAGCGATTATTGAATTGTCCCCACCAATAATTTGGTCTCTTCTAGTAAAGAAAAATAAACCCGATAGAAAGAAAAAAACGATCTGTCAACCTCTCATTCACTTAGCGGTGCAGAAAGAGTTAAATTACGTTCTCTACTGGAGTCCTACCTCATGTGACAAATATGGCCAATGTGATTGGCTGTGCCTTTCAGGGAGCTCTTTTTAGTTTCACTTAGTCATTTGTTTAATAGTAATTTAACATTATATAATTCACATATAAAACTATGTGAGATCGACAGACGGATTGGGGCTGCAGCTGCAGTAATGCGGACACTGCACCGGTCCGTCGTGGTGAAGAGGGAGCTGAGTGTAAAAGCGAAGCTCTCAATTTACCGGTCGATCTACGTCCCTACCCTCACCTATGGCCACGAGCTGTGGGTAGTGACCGAAAGAACGAGATCGCGGATACAAGCGGCAGAAATGAGCTTCCTCCGAAGGGTGGCTGGCCTCTCCCTTAGAGATAGGGTGAGAAGTTCGGCCATCCGGGAGGGGCTCAGAGTAGAGCCGCTGCTTCTCCACATCGAAAGGAGCCAGCTGAGGTGGTTCGGGCATCTGACAAGGATGCCTCCTGGGCGCCTCCTGGGTGAGGTGTTCCAGGCATGTCCCACCGGGAGGAGGCCCCGGGGCAGACCCAGGACATGCTGGAGTGATTATATCTCTCGGCTGGCCTGGGAACGCCTTGGTGCTCCCCCGGATAAGCTGGAGGAGGTGGCTGGGGAGAGGGAGGTCTGGGCCTCTTTGCTTAGGGTGCTGCCCCCGCGACCCAGCCTCGGATAAAGATGGATGGATGGATGGACATATAAAACTATGAATTGTAATTTTAAATGGTTTAAAAGTATGTAGAATAGCATATGTAGGAAAGTATATTTCTCCTTTTTTTTTTTATTTATCAAGAAGCAAAGACAAAAAGGGAAAAAAAAGAAACAGGGCAGGGCTCGGTGGTTGAATCATCCCCACCAATGCCAAAACCAAATTTACACCCTTGCAATGGGTTTGCAGTGTTTCGGGGGTTTTGTCAGATTTGGGACTGTATTAGTGCGTTAATACAGATATAAAAATATATAATACTGACTTAAATACCTACAGCTTACAAAAAAAGAGTAATGCATGCATTTATGAAGGTGGCAAAGCAACTTCATTAACATACAAATACATGGGGATCTGCTTCACTAACATGTCAGGTTCATACAGTGGCACATTAGTAATAATGCAGCTCTCCTCTGGATAAATCCTAGTATCCACTTGAGTCTCAGTCCACACACAATCCCTACAGCATCCACAATGTGGCAAAAAAGGGTAACCTCATTTATTCTTGATGTGAGATTCAGTGCTATGATAATAAAGTGAAGAAACAAAATATGGTAAATGCATGCATGCAACAAAGACAGAAACCAAATCCTCTGTTCATCAATCCAACGGCATGTAGTACAAGGCAGGAGTAAGTACACAGAAGGTTTGGCAGGGCTGTTTCATATGCCCTAAGCCTAACCTGTTCAGGTGTGCTGCCTCCTAATGTAGCTCAGTTTCAACCACCAATGAACTGTCAACAAGGAATGTAAGGCCAGCCCTGTAGCCACCGCATTAGCATTTTCCAAAAAGAGAGTTTGTTTCTTTCTCTGTGTACCACTGCAACAAATTGTCAATTCGTGAAGGCTGCACCCTGCCTCTCTCCCTATGACACCTAAGATGAGCTCCTGTTTTGTGAATATTTTTATTCACATACAAATGGTGCCACATCACTCCAGTGCGTTCTGGAAGCACTACGCAAATGCCAAAGAAGAAATGCCTTTTCTTAAATCCAAAAGAAATTATTTTCTAAAAACTGGCTGTAGTATAAGTGTATAAGTATAAGTAAGTATTTTATTTTTGCCAAGTGGGATTTCTGACCGTTTTTCTATTATCTGAGTTTTCCACATTAAAAGCTTGGAGCAGTGGACTCTCATTTAGCTAAGGGTTGGCAAAAAGAGCAAATAAAAAGAAGGGGACTCGGGTGCTGCCATCTAATAGACTGAGATTTCGTTTGGATCTTTTTAGTCTAAGTTAATGCTGAAGTCACAGTTACCATAATTTTGGCCAGTATGACCATTTTAATTATTTAACATTTTATATTTAAAACAAAAATAAGCGAGGGTGGTGGGATCATCATCTGGTCATCTGGTTCAGACTTGAAGCCCCTCTCTGAAAGCAAAATTCCTGCCGGCCTGCTGGGCGAAGAGAGCCACAGGCGGCAGCGGGCTCTTGTGTAGCCACCGACCGGCAGACAGAGAGCCGAAGCGGACATCCAACTGGGGGCACCCTGCAAACTGCTTTCCCTTACTGCCTCCTCTATCGTAATCTCTAACGCCATCCTCTGCTAACGTAAATTTCCCCTGTGTCTCCTTGGATGCTTAATGCCAAAAGTTTACTGTTAAAGAGAGAGAGGGTGGTGGCGACTTTATTTAGTATATCTATTAAAAAAAAATAGCTCATAGCTGCTGCTTCATTATTGTCTGTTAGCCTGCAGACTGAGCTCCGATCAGGGTCCTTACACGTCTTACTCCTGTGTAAGCGTCACATACCTGTTATCTGTGACTTTATCCCGAGTCTTCGGCTGATAGCTGGCAGTCCGCGTATGAGGCTGATCTCCTCTTCATACTGTACGATCGTGTTTTTAGCCTCTGAGCAGATTTTTTCAGCAGTTAATCGCTCGGACACTGAATTAAAGGCAGTGCTGCTCGGACAACTGAAATATTTCTCTCATACCACCAAAACAGGCTCTTCAAGCTAACCGTCTACCGCGCATAAAACACCATCCATCAGAGTCCTTGAACTGCACAAAGCTTTTGTCCCACCTCAGCAGCTGCATCCTTTCAGGCCGTGAAGGCCGCACTCAGCGTTTTTATATCTCTTACGTCGCGCTGGTCCTGTTGCCTAGCAGCGATGGCAGAAAATTGACACACATTACTGAAAAAAACAAAGACCGTGCTGGTGCTTTGAACCTGCTGTTTGTTCTGTTTTTAACACTCTGTGCTGAAGCTGAAGGAATGTGATGCAGCTTCAAACTAAATTACTTTGATGGGACACAGTGTGCTGTGACAAAGAGTTGTATCATCCTAAAAATATGTGGACAAGCTCAGCTGAGGTGCTTTAACCTCCTCTACATCCTTGTTAGCATGATGACGGCGCCCTCGTGTGCTGTGCATCATCAGACTTCAGTTAACTTAGCAGAAAAAGATGTAAAAAAAACTTCACTGAGCCTTCAGCAGCTTATACATCATCAATAAAGAGAGGTTTAAATATCTGTGTGTGACACAGTGAGTCAGTTTGCTCACAGGAGCCACAACATGTAACACTGCTTTTTCTCTCTTTGCCTGAAGCTCTTATGTTATTTAGCGCTGGAGTTACATTTCTCATGTGCATGGTGTAAGTGCTTAATCGACAACAGTCCCTGCAGAGGATGTGGGTGTGATCCACAGTTGCTCTCCAGGATGAAGGAAAGGTTGGACATCTTTGATTGAAGGTGTGTGTTCTTAGCATAGTTTCACAAACTAGTTTCTTTTTTCCCCCCTCTAGCTTTAAATACTAAAAACTCACAATAAAAAATATTAGGTGACTTATTTGTAAGTAATTTCCCCATGCACCTTTGCACTAGAACTATAATTTCCCCTACCTGCCAAATCCTCATGGTGGCTACATCCATCTTTTATATTGTTATGTCGCTAAAACTGACCGCATAAATATATAATTAAGTCTGTGATCATTTGCTCACTGACATTCACACCAGTGGCCTGATTTAGGTTATTTTGTATCATCCTGTTCCTCCTTGCACAAAGGAGCAGATATCAGTACTGCTGATGGAATAAGGACCTTCTATGCCATACTCAGCTCTCCTACAGTGCCTGTCTCCCAGAACCTCCTCCATGCTCTTGAGAATGCGTTTGGCAAACACAGCAAAGCTTCTGGTAATTGCACATATTGATGTGCCATCCAGGAGGACTCAGGCTACCTGTGGAAACTCTGTATGGTCCAAGTATCCGCTCGTGCTACCAGTAGTGACACTGGCAAATGCAAAACTCTAGAAAAGATGAGGAGGGGAAAAATGTCAGTGGCTCCTTTTGTAAAACTATTCCTGTTTCAGGGGTTGTGTCATTGTTGCCCTTCTAGATGTTGTTAATTTCATTAACACCAAAGCAGCTGAAACTAATTAGCAACCCCTTCTACTACTTAACTAACCAGATAAATACCCCAGAGGTTTAACTGATTTGATGCTATACTCTGATTAAAAAGTGTTCCTTTAATATCTGAGCAGTGTATTTTTATGCTGTATGAACTGTCAATCTGCAGCTACTCTACACAAATATCTTCAATGAAGCAGCAACGCTCTGCAGCCAGAGCAGCTCAGGAACAGTAATACACACAGAAGCATGTTTCCTCAAATAATCAAAACCTCAGTTTCAAAATACATATAAAATAATGACAGGCGCAACCAAAGCTTCATATTTTAGAAATGACACTTCAGAAAAAAATTGTCACGTTTTACAGAAATTTTTATTTAAATTTTAAGAATAAAGAACCCACAACAATAAGGAACAGAACTAAATAAATCAGGATAAATAAATCAACAGAAGAGGTCCATATGGAAGCTTATTTTTTATGAAAAGTATTACAACATAAGGTGACCTCAAATCCATAAAGGCACATTGTTTTTGGTCTTGTAACTGTCAAGCTTTTAATTTTCTTTAAAGAGATTAAAGACTCTTTATTAGACAATAAAATAATAAAATCTTGGCTATAAAAAAAGCCAAGTACCCACAGAAAAATATTTTTTCTGTAACAACACTGTCAAGTGAAAAAACTGAAGAATCTGGATCTACAATTAATATTTATCACCTCACCAGCACTAACACAATATATAAATTTATAATATACATATGTACACAAACTGACCAAGCATAAAACTATGACCATCTGCCTAATATTGTGTTGGCTACCCTTTTGCTGCAAAAACAGCCCTGACTGTTCAAGGGATGGACTCCAGACCCCTGAAGGTGTACTGTGGTATGGACTTGTTTGTCCGACACATCCCACAGATGCTCGACTGGACTTATATCTGGGGGATTCGGAGTGCAAGTCAACACCTCAAAATTCTTGCTGTGCTCCCTGCAAGCATTTTTGCTTTTGGTGGGGCACATTACCCCACACAGAGAGGCCACAGGCTTCTTAAGGTTTCTTCACAAAAGGTAAAGAGGTCCAGTTACTTTCTTTCCAAACTCCTTAAACTAACATGCCTGGATGATTGAGAAACTACACACATCAGAGAATACCATTTCCATGAATGGGTGTTCATGGTCTACAACAATACTAGGTAGTTGATACGATCTTCACATACCCATTGTCCACATGGCCAGGGATAAGCATGGACACCCCGACTGGTATGCAGTAATTCAATGTTATTTGTATAACACAAAAACCCCAACAATCAGTCAACTCCCTATAAGTAAGCACTCTGTGACAGTGGGAAGAAAAAAAAACTCCCTTTTAACAGGAAGACATCTGCTGCAGAACCAGGTTCAGGGAGGAGGAACAATTGACTACGACCAGTTGGGGTGAGGGTAAGACAACTATGCAGCGCCCAAACTGCAATGCACTGTACAGGGAGTGCAGAATTATTAGGCAAATAGCTGTATAGGCTCGAAAGCCTACTATCAATTAAGCATATTAGGTGATGTGCATCTCTGTAATGAGAAGGGGTGTGGTCTAATGACATCAACACCCTATATCAGGTGTGCATAATTATTAGGCAACTTCCTTTCCTTTGGCAAAATGGGTCAAGAGAAGGACTTGACAGGCTCAGAAAAGTCAAAAATAGTGAGATATCTTGCAGAAGGATGCAGCAGTCTCAAAATTGCAAAGCTTCTGAAGCCCATTGAGAACCTGTGGTCCATCATCAAATGTGAGATTTACAAGGAGGGGAAAACAGTACACCTCTCTGAACAGTGTCTGGGAGGCTGTGGTTGCTGCTGCACGCAATGTTGATGGTGAACAGATCAAAACACTGACAGAATCCATGGATGGCAGGCTTTTGAGTGTCCTTGCAAAGAAAGGTGGCTATATTGGTCGCTGGTTTGTTTTTGTTTTGTTTTTGAATGTCAGAAATGTATATTTGTGAATGTGGAGATGTTATATTGGTTTCACTGGTAAAAATAAATAATTGAAATGGGTATATATTTGTTTTTTGTTAAGTTGCCTAATAATTATGCACAGTAATAGTCACCTGCACACACAGATATCCCCCTAAAATAGCTCAAACTAAAAACAAACTAAAAACTACTTCCAAAAACATTCAGCTTTGATATTAATGAGTTTTTTGGGTTCATTGAGAACATGGTTGTTGTTCAATAATAAAATTATTCCTCAAAAATACAACTTGCCTAATAATTCTGCACTCCCTGTATATTCTAACACCTTTCTATTAGAACCAGCATTAACTCTGTTTTGGGAGTTGTTTGTTGGACCGGACCACATGGGCCAGCCTTTGATCCCACTTGGATCAGTGAGCCGTGGCTGTCTATGAGACCATCACTGGTTCACCACTTTTCATTCTTTGGCCCACGTTGGATACATGCTGACCACTGCAGACCGGGAACATCCCATAAGAGCTGCATTTTTGAAGATACTCTGACCCAGTTGTCTGACCCAAAGTCAACCTCACTCACTCAACCATTTTTCCTGTTTAGCTCATCAACTCTGAGGGAAGAATGTTTACTTGCTTCCTAATATATCCTACCCCCCAACAAGAGCCAAGATGTAGAGATAATGTTGTTCACTGGTCATAATACTATGCCTGATAGGTGTACATATATATCTGCTCAGACAAATGTAAAAATCTGGGTTTCCCCTACATCATAAGTATAAGGCAAACAAACAATACAAAAAGTGTTTTTACTGTCCAGGAGATAAAATGTAGCTCATTGACCTGAATGTAAGTTCATCTCTTCCTTCTGGTTTTGGAGTTATTTGGTTTCTCACTAGTGTGAGTTTTACCATTAACACACTGCTATGTCTGACGGCTCTGATAGACTCTAAGGATGAAACTTTTAAGCTGTGTGAGTTTCTATGTTTGTCTGACTGCATCTTTTCTCACAGGTGTCAAAAGAACGTGGCTTGTCCCCTGTGTGGGTTTTGATATGTTTTCTTAATGTTGACTGATCTCTAAATTCTTTTCCACAGGTGCTACATGAATATGGCTTTTCACCTGTGTGGATTCTGATGTGAGTTTTCAAGTGTTTTCTCTGAGTAAATCCTTTCCCACAGGTCCCACAAAAATAGGGCTTCTCACCTGTGTGAATTCTCATGTGAGTTTTCAAGTTTATCATGTGACGGAAACTTTTCCCACAAGCAATGCAAGAATAAGGTTTCTCACCAGTGTGAATTCTAACATGAACTCTGAATGCTGATGAGTCACTGAAACATTTCCCACAGGTTTCACAAGAATAGGGCTTCTCACCTGTGTGGATTCTCATGTGAGTTTTCAAGTGTATCGTCTGACTGAAACCTTTGCCACAGGTGCTACAAGAATAGGGTTTCTCGCCTGTGTGAATCCTTTCATGATGATCTAAAGTTGATTTCTTTGTGAATCTTCTCCCACAAGAGCTGCAAGAATATGGCTTTTCACCTGTGTGAATTGCCATATGGCTTTTCACATGTATGAGCTGACTGAATCTTTTCCCACAAGTGCTGCAAGAGTAAGGTTTCTCACCTGTGTGAACTCTTAAATGCTTAGTCAGCCTGTATTTATACTGAAAAGTTTTTCCACAGGTGTCACATTTTAATGACTTTTCACTGGTGTCAGTTTTGCACTGACTCTCCGTCACTGGACAGTTATCTGTTTTGTTACTGTGATGTCTTCTCTTCTTCGGCTCTGCATATCTAGTTGATCCTGTCTGCACATGCTCACTTTCTTTCTGATCTTGGCTCTCTGGTTCAGGAGAGTTGTAAGAAAGGAGATGGTCACAGTTTGGTTCTGATTCACTGTGGTCACTTTCCTTATAAATAGGAGTCACTATAAAGATATCAGCCTCCTGCTTCAGAACAAGCTGCTCTCCCTCCTGACTGGTGCAGAGTTCCTCCGGTTCCTCTTTAATTTGTGGAGGATCTGGGTCGACCTGGTTCAGACTGGAGTTTCTATCTTGGTTATCAACCTGCTGGTTATTCATAGCCTCCTCCTCCATACACATATATTGTTGCGGGAGATCTGATGTGACACATGGACAAAAATGATATGAAAAAAAAAAAAACACAACTGGGTATTTCAGGTTGTAAATCTAGTATTCAAAATTATCACACGTTCATACTAGAATATTATAGAACAGCACTGAAGGACACTTTATTTTAATTCTCATATAATGTCTCACCTATTTAGAAGTAATGTATTCATCTCACATATGGGCTGTTTCAAGCACTTCTATATGTTGTATTTAGGTATCTGCACTAGTAGACTGTTTTCTGTCCAGGCAGTCTTCTTTCATGTAGTAGAAGAAAGATAGCACTTAGGTTCCTCAGATGGGACACAGGGCACTTCAAAGGGGGAATGCTTTGACAAGGGGGGATATTTAATAGATTTTCAGGTCAGAGTGACCACGCTAAAAATAATAAACAGAAAACTGGACAGTTTTCAATGTTTTTAAGCTTAATGTCTGCCATGGGTGAAGTCATGAGTTGAAATTAATAAGTGGGTGAATAAAAGACCACCCTCTACAAATTGAGAGCCCAAAAGCTTGGGGCAGCTTGTCCATCTTTGATTATGCTTGAATCTGAGTACTTCCTGCAGAATGTCATGGGAGAGAGTTTTACTTTTTGCCTTTGGTTTTTGAGTTTGTTTTTTTTCACCAAACCGTCCTGCATTTGAAGTTGCATTAAAAATTGCCAAGTATGGTTCAGAGGCCAAGGACCTGGGAAGTGAAATCCTCACCAGAACGAAAGAAGTCAGTTTCCACTTTGGCTTATGAGAATGTAGGTTTAATGTTCAATGTTAAAGGTTTAGGGGAAAAAATACATAAATGGTATTTTGAAGTTTTACATACCTATTCTGTGTAATTTTATTTCAGGCTTCCACATAATATCTAGCTCTTCCCCAGTCCAGATGATGATGCCTTCAGTCTCCTGCTTCACTACAAGCTGCTCTTCCTCCTGACTGATCCAGAGTTCATCCTGTTCCTCTTTAATCTGTGGAGGCTCCGAGTCCTCCTGGTCCATACTGGAGGTACTCTCCTGGTTACACATCTGCTGGTCATCCAGACCCTCCTCTTCCTCACACTTCATGTTGCTGTGGGAGGTCTTAATAAAAGGGACACTAGAAAGAGGTTATTGATGTGATGACAAGAAAACAAACATTTTAAAAAATATCTTCCAGTATGCCTCTACACAATGAGCATGTTTCTCATACATGTGAATAAGTGCACAAATGTTTCAAGAGCACCTGTGCGAGTCACTCTTGAGTTCTAGCACCCTTAATAGCAGAGTACAAAACATTAGGGGAGGTTCTAAGAAACTTATGTTTTAAAACACTTTTTGGTTGTCACTTTTGTGAGATAACAAACATCAGTAACTACATGACAGAAAATCCTTTCCATGAGAAAAGAAATCTATATTTAATGATTACTAGCTGCAGATTTTAATGTAGGTGAAGCGAAAAGAGGAGACAAGGAGGTCTTGGGTTGGTATGGTGTTCCTGTTAAGTAGTGCAGGAAAGATGATGGTGGGTTTCATGAAAAGGATGGAAACAACTGTAGTGAACACATGGATCAACAAGGAGGAGGAATTTAGGGTAACAGATAAGAGTGGAGAAGGGAGCACACAGGTGGATTACAGCTTATGCAGAATGTGCGGTCTGAAAGCAAAGACACCCGAAGGTGGTGTTATTCGAGAATGCAGCTAGGCAGCATCGGATGGCAGTCTACAGTATGGCTTCAAATATCAAGAAGAGGAAACAAGTGAAGGAAGAAGCAAGGATTAAATGGTAGAAGCTGAAGAAGGAAAAATGTTCCACAGAGTTCTGGAAGGAGTTGAGACAGGCTCTGGGTGGTAGGGACTAGAGGTGGGTTTTGATTATTGATTTTCCGATTAAAATCGATTCTAGCTTGAATAATGTGATATCGATTCATTAAAATCCTGAATCGATTTTTAAATATAAATTTACAGTTTCTCACCCGACGGCATGGACACGCCGTCGGGGCTGAAAGCCGAGAGCTCACAGATTCTGATGTGTCAGCGGGGCTGCACTTTGTGCCTAAATCTTGTTTTGTGCTAGATTCTGAAGCTTCAGGTTTTGTCTCTCTCCAAACAAATTTGATTGAACCAGCCACAAAAGAAGATCCAAACTACGCTTTACATGTCGCTTCACATAAGCATCATCGTTAATTCCCTCTTCTTGTTTTGCTTCCACCACGATAAAAATCACACTTCCTGCAGCGCTCTCTCGCTCACTCTCTCAGTGTACTTCAACAACAGTTTCCCATCTAAACAGCTCTGTTTTCTGCATTATTTGCTTGCTTATTACCCACCAGTCTACCGTTATGTACAGCGCTGTCGGGCACTGTTTTTTTGTTGTTGTTTTTGTTAATCTAACTGACTTCCAACAAGAAAGCCTCATTTCTGCTGTTCAATACTGAAGAAATTTAAACTTTTTAGAATTATGCAAAATTGCAAAACGCTTAGCTGTGTCTCTAATAAAACCTCTGTAACTTTACTC